ATAGAAACAAAATCGAGTTCTCAACAAAAACTCATATATTTTCTAGCAATAAGAAAACAATTACATATGTTTTCCATGTTTGATTCATTTAAAGAATTAAATCTCTTAAATGATTCTAATTAAATCTCTTAAATGATTCTAATTAAATCTCTTAAATGATTCTATACACGTTACATGTTACTAATAGATACGGAATGAGTTCAAGGGGTTACAATTTTCTCGATCAAATGAAAAGGATTCAAACTATGGGCGTGTTTGGTAGGAAGGAAAATGTTTCCAATTTTCTCGTGTTTGGTTGGCTTAATTGTTTTGAAAAATATTTTTCTCATAAACTCATTTTCCTCCAATTGGAGAAAATGTTTTCTCTATCAAAAGAAGGAAAGATATTTTTCAAAACTCTTTTCAACCTTCTCCATCTTATTCTCCATCCCCACCAACCCACCCCAGCCCAAATCACCCCTANATAGTACTTTCTTTTCATGTTGTAGATAGAGTATTTTTTTTATTTCAACAAAATGAGTATATTCTTTTCATGATATAGTAAAAGTAATTTTCTTTCATTTCAACAAAATGAGTATTTCATGATGTAGAAAAAAGTGTTTTCTTTCATTTCAACAAACTAAGTATTTTCTTTTTCTTTAAATAGAAAAATATTTTTTTTTCCAACAAAATGAGTACTTTCTTTTCATGATTTAAAAAAAGTATTTTCTTTCAGTTTAACAAAACTAGTATTTTCTCTTCACGATGTAGAAAAAATATTTTCTTTCATTTCAACAAATTAATTTCTGAAATAGAAAAAGTATTTTTTTTTCAACAAAACCAGTACTTTCTTTTCATGATTTAAAAAAAGTATTTTCTTTCAGTTTAACAAAACTAGTATTTTCTCTTCACGATGTAGAAAAAATATTTTCTTTCATTTCAACAAATTAATTTCTGAAATAGAAAAAGTATTTTTTTTCCAACAAAATGAGTACTTCCTTTTCATAATATAGAAAAAGTATTTTCTTTTATTTCAACAAACTAATTCCTGAAATAGAAAAAGTATTTTTTTTTCAACAAAACCAGTACTTTCTTTTCATGATATAGAAAAAGAATTTTCTTTCATTTCAATAAAAATAGTACTTTCTTTTCGTGATGTATAAAAAGTATTTTCTTTCATTTCAACAAACTAAGTATTTTCTTTTCCTGATGTAGAAAAAATATTTTCTTTCATTTTAATAGAACGAGTACTTTCTTTTCGTGATGTAGAATAAGTATTTTCTTTCATTTTAACAAACTGAATATTTTCTTTTCATGATGTAGAAAAAGTATTTTCCTTCATTCAACAAAATGAGTAATTTCTTTTCAAGTGGTAGAAAGGATACTTTCTTTTTCTACAAAATAAATATTTTTTTTAATTTATCGAACTCAAATTTCAACGTTATTCTTGTGTGAAAAAGTAAAGTAGCACATTAGTTCCTTTAAATTTGTGTGAATTGTGAAAAGAATAATTAAATTCTTGAAAAAAAAGGGGGGGGGGG